AATTAAAGCGGAATTTAAATCCCAGCGGATTAGAAAATCTGTTATCATTAAGTGCGGTAGTACCCTAATTATATTAGTTTGAGCCAAAGTAGGGATACGTTTTTTTATTAATGTTAAGTAATTTGATTTTTAGTAGTTGTACTTTCTTGTTTCAATACTTTTTGAAGCATTAAAACGTTCTATATTTACTATAGCTTACGTATAGCTATACTATACTATAACTAAGTTACGGATATATCAATCCCTACTTGTCTTTATAAAATTTAAATGTTTATTATTATACTTGTATATATCTTAGAACTCTAGGACATTCCTTCATTTTAGATTATCCGCCTACTCCTAGCCCTTAATCTAGTGGCTAAAGAAAACAAATCACCATTAATATTATAAAAAATATTCATTAAAGGCTACAGTTGTCAAGCCCTACTTCAGAATGTTATCTACCAGTGGAATTCTCTTTCGTGCTACTTCTCTTTTGTTTACTAAATGTCAACGAAGAGATGCAGAATAAGAACAATAATTTTACATCTTTTTGACAGCTTTGTCCTTTTAATTTAAAACAGATATGAAGGTGTTATTTTTAAGGTGATGTAAGAATGTTTAGACATGTTCAGAAACATAGAATAGTTTATTTCAGTTTTTGAAACAGCTGTGGCAATGTGATATGCAGGCATATTTTTGTCCGCACCCGGTTATTTAGTTTACTTGCTGTAACGGCTTAAACACATGGTTCAGAAAGTCCCTAAGATTACCTAAGTTTACCTTGTTTTAATTGCTTCATTTCTTTGTTCTGTATAGTACAGGGTGTCAGAAAGGTCTGGAACTGTAGGTGATTTGCAGCTTTTTTTAATTTCAGCTTTTCTTAATTTCTATGTGCCTATGGTTCCAGACTTTTCGGACACCCTGTAGGTGATGTACATTATGCCAAGAGGATAATGCAGTAATATATATATATATATATATATATATATAGCATCTGGGACTTAAAATGAGTAGCATTGTAAATAGCCTTTGCTGGCATATTATGATGTTGACTAAACGTAACAGACGTCAAATGCTGTGAAGGAACAAAAGCGACGAGTGAGGTGCTGTCGTCTTGACAAAGAAAATGAGTTCACCTGTTGAATTTAGGCACGCCTTTTTTTTTAGCGAGTTTCTGTTAAGAACGTGTTTTTTACTTCTTTGGATATTAATCCTGGGGGAGAGAAAGCTGTGGAGCTAAACACCACCCAGTAGAAAGGACAGTTATTTCGTCTACTATACATACAATGTGTTTCCAGTTTATTTGTGGTGACACAGATTTGGTTCATTTATTCCAATTTCTCAAGACTCTTTATTTCATACTCCAAAAAACTCAGTCATGCTATAAATTACAGAACACTTTTGATCGAATCTGCTTTTATTTGTAGGTTTACCTGTCTGATACTTGTCGGTAAATTGATTTTTGCCTGAAAATGCCACAACAGTTCCCTAGATGTGGCCAAAAGTTTGGCCCTTTTTATAGAGTAACGTTAGTGTTACTCCACCACCTAATTTGGCCCAAGTCACTTCCATTCTTCTGGATATACACAGTGAAACTTTAATATCTTGTAACTAAGAATGTAAGAAAACATTTAATTAGCTATATTCATTATCAGGCTCGTTTTTAATTTTGCTCTAAGTTGGTAGATAAGTTAATATTAATAGCATATTGTAAGCACATAGTAAACCTACACGTCAATTTTTGCTTCAGCACTATATATATTACATACAAGTGTACATGCGTGCTTGTAACGTTTTTGAACGTATAGCTAACAACACTAGGTATACATATTTTATTGATGTCATATAGTGTCGAACATAAATTAATTTTATTTTTACAGACATTTAGTTGCTAATAAAATACGATAAAAGAGGAATTTAGATATACCAGTTTGTTCTTCATGCCAAAACTGAACTGGTAACAAATGCACATGATATGTTTTACAGTTTTGGAGTTAACTGAACGTTAATTGTACATCTCATTTTAGGTTGGTTTATACAACATGTAATAAACATCGGAGATCATATAAAATTTGCTGTGTGCAAAACAATTTTGATTTTCATCAAAATTTTTACACGAACACAGTTATATTAGTAATTGATGCTCTTTATCATACGGGTTTAGGCCGATGCCTTGGTTTTTTAATAGAAAGTTACGACTCCGGCTGGTGCTCCGACTTTTAATACATCCCACACGTGATCAACATGAGTAAATACAACCTTGCGATAAGGATGTTGTTAACTGTATGTTAACAACACCACACACTTACAAGATTACACATAACAACACACTAAGGTTTTTATGTAGGAAGGGGAAACTACTGAACCTAAGCTGCATGCTCCTCATTCAGCTCTTGATGGTTAAGTTACACGTTTGGTGCACGTGTTTTTGTTATTAAAGAAAATCAAGATAAGGATTTTTTTTTCAATGTAGCGTTCTTATAAGGATAATGGTAAACGTGGCCTTGAATATGAAAAATGTTACATAAAAAAACAACTCTTTGGATACTAGTTTTATTAAGTATTTGAAAATTGTTTACATAATTTGCTGTTTTTCTCATAGTTTTGATTGAACTTGTTTCTTATGTTTAAAACCTCAAGGAGGTCCAACTGTTAGAAAACAAGCTTCTAGCTTTGGGGAACAGGTTTGGGTAAGTAAACTTAAATTTGAAGTTAATGAATGCCAGAAAAATAGTTTGATTAAGACAGAATGTTTCAAAACTACTCGATGTAAGAATATTATTCTAAGCTCGGTCGACATTAACGAATATGTCGAATCAAATTTACTAGAAATATAATGGTATAGAATTACAGCTTGTTTGAGTTACACATACAACTCTAATTTGGAGTAGAGTAAGCCACTTCTATTCTTGTAGATTTTTCTTTTCAACAGATCTTCGTTTTATTACAAAATATTAGTTGTGATAATGGTTTGGCTATATGTAATATGATGTAATTGGTATTTAAAAGAAAACATTTTGATTTAGCTAAAACAATTAATGAGACTCAAGTTTTATATTTGATGGATGCGCTCTATCTAACCCTAGAATCTCTGATACATGGCATTATGTATAGGTTGTATCTTAAGATATTGAGATAAATGATATATCATAGCTTGTTTCGGACATTCATGCAAAGCCATGCAGAAAAACTATCTGTCGTAACCATTCATAATTTGGAACTGGTAGAGTAGAGAGAAAGAAGCTAGTCAACAGCATCCAAGACTAACTTTTGGAACACTGGGATTAGACCGATACTCTTATGATGCACCTACAGCAAAAAGTTGCGGAGCTCAACATTTTTTGCCTCAACGGGACGCAAACCATAGATCTTGGAACATCAGTCCGGAATACTAATCACTAGGCCATACCGGGCCCGATATTTCATACAAATGTAAAGATTTTATATCGCATTATACATTATCTGACCAATGTATTAGTACCTCCACCCAATATGGGTTTGGATCACCTTTCGCAGCTGTAATAGTCTTTTCAGCTATTACTCCACCTCCAATGGCTTGAACCATCACAAAAGCACAAATTTAAAAGCCCATACTATGTATTTGTTATCCACATTTTTACTGTACTGTAGGTTCAATGCGGATCACATCACTCACTTCTTTTAGTCGTTCATCCTCTAAAGTTGATGGTTGAATCCCCACTGACATTGTGGTTTCTTGCATTTTGTGACGTCTTTTGTATAATACAGTTAAAGATAATCGAATCTTGTCACAATTTAAAGATGTATCAGTTACATCATAGTCACCTTTGGTCAGTCGTCAGTGGTTGACGAATATAGTTTTTCCTGATGGCATAGGCATTCCCTTTTGATTTCTACTACCGATAATCCATAATGATAAATGCTTTTGAATATATAGCAAGAAATATTATTTTTTGTGGACTAAGTTTCATGCAGAGAAGCGCTATTGAATACACTTTTTTGAAATTTCTGCTCCTACTCAATATTTTATAAACTAATCATGATATGAATACATCCCTGCACTTATAGGGTTCAAGCAACCACCTGACACTTCGTGTGATCAGTCTATTTTACATATACAAATAAATGGAATGTTTACAAATGTGAGTGAGTCCTAACAAAGTAGTTAGTTAATTTATGACACTGACATTTCAAGTTTTTATACCTTGAACTGTTCCTAAAAGGTGAACCTAAGGCTTGAAACGTACAGATGAGAAGATAAGAACTGGTTACTTTTCACCTTGACCATTTGTCACGTGCTATAAACGTCTATATATTTAAACCTCAGTTTCTTTAGTAGCATGCTGCTGATTACTATATCTAAAACGTTTCCAAGTATCTCATCCTGTACTTGAAATGGGCCTAAGCCTAGTACCAGGTTTCTTTTGGGTTATGTTCATTATATCACTATATTAATAGTTATCAAACCTGTTGGGAACCCAAAGGATGCTGCCGCCTGGAGTTATGCAACTGTTAGATAATAGATAAAGGATGCCGTCTGAGGGTTACATAACTATTTCATAATATACAAATTATTCAAACACCCGAGAGTTACATAACTGTTACGTAATATGCAAATTATGTTGACACCTGGGCACCTGGGATTACACAACTATTATGTAATAGGCACCAGAGGGATCGACTGTCTCAAGGGGATGGGATGGGAGGGGTAGAGACGATGACGTCATGGTGTCATGCACCAGATGGCGCAGCTGTCCTAAATTCATAGTTCCACAAAGTGGCAATAGACGGTATGATCGCGCAGATACTTCGCGAGCGACCCACCAGTTGGTGATGTAAAACAACATGACATTAACTTTATGGTAACAATAAAAGTATTAGAATCAATAATTTAATCTAACTTGATTAACATTGTATTTACAATTATCAGTACTGAAAAGTTTTTTATTGCAATTACAGTTTTGCTTTATAAGTAAGAGATTAAATCCGCAATTTTAATCTGATGAACTTTATAGTTTTCCCTCATATATTTAATTGCGTACGTTTTACATAGTGTTACTAAGGTAGTGTTTGTATAGGCGGATGGTGTTA